GCTTCGGACTTTGCCATCGGCTGTGCAATGCTGCAAGCAGACGCCGAGGGGCGAGATCGGGTGGTCGCGCTCGAATCTTGCCAGCTTTTGGCTGCGTTAAATAACTTTCCAGTCCACGACAAGGAATTACTTGCGATGAAGTTTGCATTTATCAAGTTCAGGGTGCATCTGCTCGGCTCAAAGCTATTTGTTCATGCGTCACTACGCGCCGTGACTCAGTCGTCTCACCGCTCGCAGAAGATGGCCAGGTCCAAAAGTCTGTAGTAGCGCTACACACATACCATTACCCGTGTATGCGGCGGGAATCAAATCCGTCACTGACGACGTCATCGTCGTGGCGTAAGCAAGCCCACATTTTAATCTGCGTGACAACGCATCAGCCAAAGCATACTGCTTTCCTGGCTTATGCTTCACCTCGAAGTTATATTTTGCGAAAAAGGAGAGCCGGAGCAAAGAGTTTGGAAACTTGGTGCACGGTTACACCGATATTCGTTGAACAACAGGTTGCTGTATTATAGCACCGATCGGACGGATACGCCAAAAATTGTGGTTCCTCATGATGAGAATCTGAAGTATCGTATCCTCTATGAGGCCCACGACACCCTACTTAGTGGTCATCTCGGTCGTTAGAGGAAGTACAGCTCTGTGAGTTGCCATTACTGGTGATCCATGCTGTACAAATCAACGAGCGCATATGTGCGCACGTATGAGACGTATTAGAGGGTGAAAACCTTTCCGAATGCGGCGGAGCCGCTGTCCAGTTTGCCGTCACCCTCCGGATGTTGGCAGTCCATGAGTATGGACTTTGCGTTTGACCTGCCGCAGGACTCGGCGGGCAACACGGGTTGGTGGTCTTCGTGGAACGTTAGAATAAGATGACTCATCTTGCGGCAGTGCCGAACACCATCGACGGTTTGAGTACAGCGACACTGCGTGTCTTTCGACAGTATGGACTCCCGGAGTCAATTGCCTCTGATAGAGACCCAAGCTTCACCTGGAAGTTTTGGTCGCCAATCTTCAGAGCGCTGTGCACCAAGTTGGCTATGTCAACAGCCGACCCTCCGCAGACCGATAGTCAAACTGAGCGCGTGAATCGCGGTTGAAGACGTTCTTCGCAGCGTCTGCGCTGAGACGCCGAATCGCTGAAGCGCCATGCTGCCACTCGTAAATTTTGCTCTGAACAAAGCAGTGCATTTATCTACCGGCTACACGCCGTTCTACGCGGACGAGCTTGCTAATCCTCGTGCCCCGCTGACGCCGCCATCCCATTGCTCAGGGCTTGATGGAGGAGGGATAGCCAAACGGCTAGCTGATGTCAGCCCCCTCACTGTGCGTGAAGAAGTCGGAGACTTCCTGTCTGCAAGACCGAGTGTCCTACGGCACGATGGCTGAAAGCCAAGACATGCAGAAGGAATATGTAGACGGAAAAGGAAGAAGAAGAGTTATAAATATCTAGGTCGGAGACCTGGTTTTAATAAGAGCAAAAAACCTTCCTTTACATGCAGTCTGTGCTGTCTTTAAGACAAAGCCCCATCCACGGTTCATTGGACCTTTTAAATTCGTGGCCAAGCGAGGCCCTGATTAACGGGGTTACACATACCCTGGTAACAGGGGTGTGTGTCACACGAGATGGGCATGGTGTGACCACACCCAAACAAGAATACGGTACGGGGCTGAATAGCCAGTAGTTATACATGTATTTAAATTTTACTATACATATTTAGGAAAATCTATGCATTTAAAGTAAGGCGGCTTTGCCGCAGATATAAAAATAAATAAAGTCAGTTTTGAATTTAAGCCGAAGAATTAATTAGCCTTGAGTTAAGGCTATAATTATTCTTGGAGTAAGCGGTTTGCGAACCGCAAAACTCGTACTTGTTCTGAGTATAGAACGAGAGGTCGGTGGCCTAACTTAATCTTCCTCAAAGCGCAAAGCTACAGCAGCCCCGCTGCACCTTGCTTATGCGCTAAACCTTCCGAGAAGGATGCGCACCCACCCGGTGTTTAATGTGGTCTTGCTTATGACGTAACAGGATCCGGCGCAAGTGAACGCGGAGGCATTGGCACCGGGGCGGCGCCCACTGGCACTTAGCCACCCAGAAGCTGAACCAGCAACTGGTTATGAGCATGATGAGCAACAATTTCTGTTTCCAACGGCGCCAGGCGCTCCACCGCCGCACATAAGTGAAGTATTTATCTATTTGACGGCTTTGAGCCGCTCCGACAGAGCGCGATAGTCCTCAACGCACGGCATTCAGTGCGCAAAGTGCTCCAAGCTCTCGAGGTCTTCCGCACAGCGGTATGCGACCTCGGCAAGATGCTCGGCAAAGTGCCGATAACGACGGACTTTGTCCTCCAGAGCTCGAAGAGCATCGCGAGTCACCGGATGGCGATCGACCGCGTCGTCATCGTCCGCTGCCAACTCTTCTCGATGAGGATGCTATCACGTGTAACGCCTTATGGGTCGACGTGGTTGTTCGAGATTCCGGCTATGGAAGTTGATTGATCTTGAACACAATTTCTTCTTTTCTCATAGGTTGATAAGGATTGAATAGGTAAATTTCATCTGATCGTACAAAGAATCGCGACATCTACTTCCCAAGCTAGGATATGCCTTGTTATTGAGGGGCTCTTACGCAGGTGCCTATTTTCGCACGCGAACTGT